CTCGAGAATGTACACGAGTGTGCAAGGCCAGAGGACTTACAGTGGAGGCAGCGATTTGTTTGCTGAGCCATTGACACCGCCAGAGAATTCACGGAGGAAGAATGGGGATGACCAAGTTTCGCCCAATGAATATAGCCCTGGGCTTTTGGATCTGCATTCATTTGATACAGAGCTACTTCCCGAGGTAATTTCACCATTAAAAGTTGTTTAGTGGTTCATCTGATTGGTTTACTGCAGAATTGTGAATGTGGGTGGTGATTTTGAGTGTTGGTTATGTATTATATTTGGGAAAGATAAAACTCTTTTTTGGTATGAAAATTGAGGTGATGGTGGGCAATCGGGATTGCAGTACAGAATTTGATGCCAGGAAATTTTAAGTTCTCACATTATTTGTGGGGAAACTAATTGGACTATCATGGTCGATGAATGCTTGTCTGTTTTCATTGAAAATAAATTATCTGAGTGGACTGATACACCACTGTCAACTATTTTACCCTATAACTTGTGTTCTGTTTTAGATGATTGCCTGATGCATGCTGCATGTAATTTTCCCTTGTATTCCATTTACCCACTATCTGGATGTGAATGCTGAAAACAGGTATCAGTTCCAGGTCCCTATGATGGCCCATCTATGAATCATTTTTCTAGGGGAAGAAGTTTTGATGACTCTGACCCGTCGTACTTTGGGAACAACAAACAAGCTGGCCGTGCTCGTGCTGTGCCGGAAAGCAATGTTCTGAAAAGCATTGCAGCTGATAATGTGAAGGCCAGCAATGTTGCCAAGATCAAAGTTGTGGTATGGTTATTTCCACTTATTCCATGTTGATCTGTTAGATATTCTTTGTGCTGGGTTGTTGGTAACACTTGTGAACTACTTTAATTTACTGAGGTTCATTCTTGACACAGTCATATTCTCTAACTAAATGAAAAAGTGTAGCGGTGACGTTGATTCATGGAGAAATTTTTTAGTCATTTGCAGCAAGGATTGAAGTTCCTTTACACCCCAGCAATCTACTTTTGGTTGTGTAGTTTGAAATTGGTTGAATTTATTTCAGGTGCGGAAAAGACCTCTAAACAAAAAGGAACTCACAAAGAATGAGGAGGATATCATAGATACCTATTCGAATTCTCTCGTTGTCCATGAGACAAAACTTAAGGTTTGATAAGGTTTTTTGTATTAATCCAACCAGCTCTTTATTGTTATATAAGTTGTTGTTCTTGGCCTTATTTGATGCCTTGATTTTTCTACCGAAGCACTTTGAAGTAGTCCTGAATTATTTTCTTATGCTTGCCATTTTGAAGATACCGCACCAAAATTAACTATCTTATGCTCTTCATTATATGAAAAACGGGTTTACTTACATGATTTAGGCAATCAATTTGCAGTTCATCTGGTAGCTTTCCTATATGAATATATCTTTTCACAAGCTAATCTACTATGAAATATATTGCCGACTGGATTGATACCCTGGCATATGCTATATGGCCATTTTTAACTTTGTAATGATTCTATTATCATAGAATAGTTAAGTAATCACTGAATGCTTACTACCAGGTGTTCAGCTGAACTTTAAACTTGAATTTTCTTGTATATTATAAAATTGCAGGTTGACCTTACAGAATATGTGGAGAAACATGAATTTGTTTTTGATGCAGTGTTGAATGAAGAAGTTACAAATGATGAGGTAATACATCAACATGAACCAAACCTGATATTGAGGAAAACGGATATTGCCTCATGGGAGTCTTGTATTTTTGCTAACTTGATCCTTATCTTTTCTTTCGTAGGTCTACCGTGAAACTGTAGAACCAATTGTTCCAATTATTTTTCAACGTACAAAAGCCACTTGCTTTGCTTATGGGCAAACAGGTGATCATTTTTGCTTAATCATCACACCTAATTATTTCACATATTTTTTATTTTGTTCTTATGTCTTCTTTTTTCCACTACACCTTTTAAACTTTTCAGGAAGTGGCAAAACTTTTACCATGAAACCACTGCCCCTAAAAGCTGTTAGGGACATCCTGAGGCTCATGCACCACACTTACAGGAACCAAGGTTTTCAGCTATTTGTCAGCTTCTTTGAGATATATGGTGGAAAGCTTTTTGATCTGCTGAGTGATAGGAAGTAGGAAATCTTATCATATCCATTCATAATTTGATTTTGGCTATAAGTTATTTTCCTCCGGTGGAACTTCATTACCTTCTTCCTATTGCCCCAACAGGAAACTTTGCATGAGAGAGGATGGCAAACAGCAAGTCTGTATCGTGGGCTTGCAAGAGTACCGAGTCTCAGATGTTGAGACGATCAAGGAACTCATTGAGAAAGGTAATGCAACGAGAAGTACAGGCACCACGGGTGCAAACGAGGAGTCATCTCGTTCACATGCCATTCTTCAGTTGACCATTAAGAGGTCGCCTGATGGCAGTGAATCTAAGCCTGCAAGGGTTGTTGGCAAGCTCTCCTTCATCGACCTTGCTGGTAGTGAACGTGGTGCAGACACTACCGATAATGATAAGCAGACAAGGTATATATATGTAATTAGCTTTTAGTGGCTGCTCAGTGAAATAGGAACCGTTGAGGGGCGAAAGAGTGTGATTGTCAGTCTGGCTGAAAAGGAGTTGGTGTAGTCTTTTGTGTAGTGTCAACTTCTTCTCAACAACCTTTAGCTTCTATTTGAAAGAAAAGGATGTGATTGTCAAACACTACTTGCTTAGAGATGACGAAATTTGACTATAGTGCATGGCGGCATAACAGTACAATGTGAAATGTTAAATTATTGTTATTGGCTAAGTCTTTTATTCGGAAGGAAGAAATTGATGAATATCTTCCCGCTGATTACTTTGCAGCGTAAGTTCTTATCCAATTTTCTGAACACACAGAATGGAAGGAGCTGAGATCAATAAAAGTTTGCTTGCCCTGAAGGAGTGTATTAGAGCACTTGACAACGATCAGGGGCACATCCCGTTTAGAGGCAGCAAATTAACCGAAGTCTTGAGGGACTCGTTTGTAGGAAACTCCCGCACGGTGATGATATCATGCATTTCGCCAACTTCAGGATCCTGTGAACATACCTTAAACACCCTGAGATATGCCGACAGGTCAGTCTTAATCCTTTTCCTGGATAAGTTCTATTTTCTTCTCCTATAGGCCTTAACATTGTGCAATTTGTTGCACTTCAGGGTGAAGAGCCTCTCGAAAGGAAATAACTCCAAGAAGGATGTTTTGACTTCGACTGCTAATCTGAAAGAGTCAATTGCACAGCCTTTGCCTTCAATACTCCCACAGGCATCGGCCTTTGAGGATGATACAGCCGATTCATGGCCGGAACAAACAGATAGGGAAGAATACGATGATGATTTCTATGAACCAGAGAAACCAACATGGAAGAACACGAGAGTTGATTCATACAACTTTTCTAATTTTGATGATAAAATAAGGAGAAACAATGGCCAGTCAAAGTGGATGGAGCCTGCCAAGGCAGAGATAAAACATTCAAATTCAGATGACAATCTGAATGCTTTACTGAAGGTAAATTTTGGTGTGGTTGGGGGGTTGGTTTGTGTTAAAATTCAAACACTGTTCCTTCAGTTCAGTCTAATAACCAAAAGTCATTTTTTTTTTTTTTTGGGAGAATACATCTGCCTACTTAATGTTTTTGATGGTTAACGCCCAAAATAGTTTCTATTTTCGAAAAGTGAATAAAGATCAATTATGGTATCTGCATTTTCTGAGTGATATATTTTCCTTTCATTTAAATAAAAGAGTAAAAATGGCTGTTACTCGTTTTCTTACTAAACCATGAGGTAGTGTACATTGTATTAGATAGATCTTGATAGTGATTTTACTTCTGTTTATAGGAAGAGGAGGATCTTGTCAATGCTCACAGGAAGCAAGTGGAGGAGACAATGGAAATTGTCCGTGAGGTTTGTGAAAAAAAATAATCTTTTTTTTTTTTTTTTAATCTCCGTTTTTACAGATTGGCTACTGATAATTCACTTATTAAAGCTAAGCATATTATTTAATTTGTTTCATCATTACTTGTTATCAGGAAATGAATTTGCTGGTCGAGGCCGATCAGCCAGGTAACCAGCTAGACAACTACATCTCTCGATTGAATACTATTCTGTCCCAGAAAGCTGCTGGCATTCTAGAGTTACAAAATCGGCTGGTTCATTTCCAAAGACGCTTGAAGGAGCACAATATCCTTGTCTCCTCTGGTTATTGACAGTAATATAATTTGTTATATGATATTTGCATATATAGAGATGGTCGTGATGCATCAGCTTGTTAGGGAAAACAACCGATCAATGGTGTTTGGTTTATGAATAGCTGAAAGCCTCAGCTCGACAAGTTGAAACATTTAGGATACAAAAAAGTCTCATGGTTGTTGTCCAGTTCTGTACAATTCTTGCGTTGATATTTTTTAGCCTGTTTGGCCTGTTTGGGGCATGGTTTGATTGATTTGTTAATGGAAATTACAGAGTGTGGAGTTGATGATGTTCTTTTGCAGTTTTCTTACAGTATGTAGCATTCATTTCTCGACAGAAAAAAACATGCACCATGCACTTGACACTTGAGGCATTCAACTTTTAGGCAATTTAATACATGAAACTAAATACTTCTTACACATCAAATCTGGGTCTAATTTCCAGCCATGGAAAATGATTTGTCATTACCGTATGGAAATAGAAATCCTAGTCCAAAGAGGATCGGATATAGAAACCGAAAGTTTTAGGAAGACGAACGTCTTGGTGATATCAGCCCAGAGATATGATTATTACATTGAAACATGCCCCCTTTGCGGAGCATATTGATGATACATTAATGATGCACACAACACTGAACAAAATACAAAATTGAAATCTGAAAATGAACTTAAACAAGATTGAGGCGAATGGAAGACATTATAAGATTCAATGTGGTAGTTTTTTTTTTTTCTTCTTTTTTTCTTTTTTCCTTTTTTTTTCTACTCTCAGCTTTCTATAGCTTTATAGGGTGAAGGCTTCTCATTGAGCCATGAGCACTGGTCGATCCATGTCTCCTCATTGAGCCACTTCTTGATGGCTGCGGCACGTGGATCTCCGAATGCATATCCATGAAAAATTTGTCGACTATCTCCACATAAGTCGGGCATTTGAGCCTCGAGTAGTAATGCAACACCTCCTCCACATCGAGCACGTGGTCCATATCGCTCGGGTTCATCATCTCCAAATCTTTCATCTTTCGAGCTAAACTATCAGCACCCCTGAAGCTCGAGCCTTTCGGTTTTTTCGCTGATTGTTTTCTTGAATTCTTCTCTTCCTTTAAGCCTTCTAATCCCCTGCAATCTGCAAAGCTGATGGATCTCCTGCTAATGCGCTCGTCTTTCTTCGTTTGAGCGTTTGCCGAAATCCAAACCTCTTTCTTCTTTTTCTTTACTTCAACGGCATCCCATTTTTCGGAGTAGCTTCTATGGGATTCGCCGAACTTCTCTTGGAATTTGGAGCTGTACTTGATG